TTTCATTCCTGCCTTGAGTCACACATTATCGAATTTTGTCAAATAATAAGCATCAATGTTTTTATTAGACAGCATTCTTAGAATGCATGAATGATGATTGTGCCAATATTGTTGCAAAGGTTAATAATAAAATGAATTTAATCTTCTGAGAAAAAAAAGGGACATGAAACACATTTGTAGAGAGTCTCTCTCTCTCTCTCTCTCTCTCTCTCTCTCTCTCTCTCTCTCTCTCTCTCTCTGGGTGTCTATGTATCACAGTTTCTCTTGATCTATCTCTCTAAATAAACAGAAAGAGCTATTGTGGAGTAAATAGTACACCCCCGGTGACTATATGAACTAGTCCATAACTATAAATAAGCCGAGCACCAGGTGAAAAGGGAAAGGAAACTGTTTTAAGTCAGGTAGTTCTGTGTGCCAGTCTCGCAACAGTCTCTTGTCGAACTCTCTGCCAGTCTCGCAACAGTCTCTTGTCGAACTCTCTGCCAGTCTCGCAACAGTCTCTTGTCGAACTCTCTGCCAGTCTCGCAACAGTCTCTTGTCGAACTCTCTGCCAGTCTCGCAACAGTCTCTTGTCGAACTCTCTGCCAGTCTCGCAACAGTCTCTTGTCGAACTCTCTGCCAGTCTCGCAACAGTCTCTTGTCGAACTCTCTGCCAGTCTCGCAACAGTCTCTTGTCGAACTCTCTGCCAGTCTCGCAACAGTCTCTTGTCGAACTCTCTGCCATTGGGAAGAGAGGAACCCAGACGAGCCTATGCTCTCCAGAGTCGCGTCTGGGAAGGTAGACAAACCCGACCCCGAGTGTGCGAGGTCTACGGAGAATTTTTGCCCGAGCTTATGGCCTTATGCCACATCCTACCTTGTAGAGAGGCTTGTTAAATACCAGAAGAATCTATTTGGAGTCAGTCTTAAGTTGCCGTAGCATTATTACAAGCGCTTTATAACCAAAACCAAAATTGATTATGGCGATCGCATATGAATCAAATTACTCAGAAATGTTTATGTGCAAAACAACGCAGAACATTTATTTTGTTATTTACTTATTTAAAGAGACATTTTAGGAATCTAATCGAAATTTTCATGTCAAAGTTCTGACTAACACTGCTCTTTTGCGTCTACAATTTTGCAAAATGTATCTGATCAGAATAATAATGTATTTTTATAAAGGTTTTCAAACATAACATTTGGCTTAATAAAATATTGGGCTGTCTCAAATTGTTAGCTCTGCCCATCAAGATTATTGTCACCACTGACGCATTTCATTGAACGGTTAGTGATTTTCCATCAATATTCAAGTCTTGCAGTAATTAAATTTGAAAAAAATCCTTTTACTTGCATTTATTTACTTACATTTATTTACCAACGATCATGTTCGTTTCTTTTGCTTTCGTTGTGAGCTGTCAGTTTTCAATCATTTTTATACAGTTTGACGTGAATTCTTACTATCCGGCCTCCTTTCTCTCTCAAATTCGAATAATCAATGTGTCCATAACTGTTTTCTAAGGCAGGGCTGGCACCCAGCTGTCCATTTTGACAAATGATCTATAGATTTTCTTTTTGTTTTCTTAGGACATAATTCTTTAAAGAATTTGCAAATTTCCACAGAAGACGCTGCTACCGTCAAATATCATAAGCTTTTGATACTGATTGTACGTTAATGCTAACCTACGAAGATTGAGTGAAAAGCGTGGAGCAAGAAGGAAGAATTTGCTGTTGCCACTTGAAGAAAATCCCTTGGAGACACAGTATTAGGGATTGGCGTATTAAATCCTCTTAGGGGGTCAGCATGAAAAATCTCGCTTTGCTTTGAATTGGAACCTCTGTTTCTCATCAGATGAACGGATTTAAGCAATGTTTGGTTTGAGTGGCATTTTTGGAAATAATAACAGACTTGTATTTTATTTCATATCGAATCTTTGACGTTAATCAAGGGCCAACCAAGTTGATAGTCGTAATATGAATGGACAGAGTTGAAAGAAAGAATTTTTAGTTTTTTCCCAAGGGAATTTACGGTGGCAAACGGCATCAACTATTCAGTCATTGTACTGAACGCAATTCAAAGTTCAAATTCTGGGTACTGTCTATCAGAGGGTGGGAGATTTGACAGAGGCTTAATCATATTAACGACACACTATGTATGACAGTTCTACGAGATTTAAACGACGTAATAAAACAAGATTTTGTAATGCTTTGGTTTTGATGTATTTTACACAAAACTCAGTAACAATTAGAATATTTCATATCGATACAAGAAATTCTTGATATTTTCAGAAATAAATCGATTCAGCAAAGATTTTGCTGAATGAGATCCCATGTATTACAAAGTGAAACATCGTGGAGAAAGTCAGGCCGGCGCTAAGGTTTCGGGAGCCCCTTTCCCCAAAAAAGAATTGATACGCCCACCCCCCTCTACTACATGTCTATTTCAAAATTTCCCACCCTGGGGGCCAGAAACCCTCGAAGGAAAATTGGTAGGGGAGGGCATCACTTTTTTAAATTACCAAAATTCGGAATTATCCAATGTAAATTAAAATTTCAGTACATATTTATTAATTATTTACTTTTATAATGAATAGGTTTTTTACTTTAAAAAAATCTGAGAAAATATTACTCATTTTGTAATAACCACCAATATTTTCATGACTAAATTTTATTTGAAAAAAAAATGTTTAAGTCGCAAATCTTCCATTTCCATAAAGATAAAACTCTAACATATGTCGTCCGAAAAAAAGCTTTTACAAAGATTCCAACACAACATAAACGGGATGTCGTAAATTTGTTTTAAAAACAGTATTTCAGTTTTCGGGAAAAATTTTCATATCTTGAAATCCAAACATTTTTATTTTTTAAGCGATCATTTTCTCAGTTTTAACTTTCTAGAAATGTAAAAAATAGTGGACTTCTGGTTAGTATTACTAGGAGATCATCCTTAGGGGATAATCTCGGAATAAAAAATGATTTTACCGAGATATATTACCCTCTTAATTGATTTATATAAAAAAAAACTCTTCAGAACGAAAATTACATTTTTAAAAAATAAGAACAACTGAAATTGGTTTATCTTTATGGGATATTCACCCGGTTGAGAGGTTCGTGGGGTAGTAAGCAGCGACCCTGTCGATTATTATAGTTAATGACTGACAATATAACTTCGGTAAAAAAAAAAAGTAAAAAGTACAAAAAGAGAAAAACACTGCTGAAATTAGCACTTTTGGGTTCCAATTTCGTCGTGGGTCTCTGCGTAGTAGGCACCGCACTGACCATGCAGATACATGATGTATATTATTGTCAGTTTAATGATAATTTTTAAAAAATGGCGGATGACCGTAAAACAGTGCTGAAAAAATAATGGCAGAGGCTACAACGGTCTCCCCAAAAAATTGGATTTGGGGATAAGACGCGTCGGCCCTGGAGAAAGTATTGTCATCGTCAAAAGTTTCATAAAACGATTAATGATTTATATTTGTTTTTACTTAAATAATAATTGGATAATTATTATGAGACAAAGAAAGGCTTTCTTTCATTCGTTCCGTCTCCACTCTTCCGAGTTCTTTCATTATCTACTTTATTTCTTATCATTTTCTCTACAACTTATCTTTCCCTCTTTATTTAACCATAAATTTATCATTCCCCTCGCTGTGTACTCTGCATCTCATCCTTCTCCTCGCCATGTAATTTGCATCTCATACTTCTCCTCGCCGTGTACTCTACCTCTCATCCTTCTCCTCGCCATGTAATTTGCATCTCATCCTTCTCCTCGCCGTGTACTCTGCATCTCATCCTTCTCCTCGCCATGTAATTTGCATCTCATACTTCTCCTCGCCGTGTACTCTACCTCTCATCCTTCTCCTCGCCATGTAATTTGCATCTCATCCTTCTCCTCGCCGTGTACTCTGCATCTCATCCTTCTCCTCGCCATGTAATTTGCATCTCATCCTTCTCCTCGACATTTAATTTGCATCTCATCCTTCTCCTCGCCATGTAATTTGAATCTCATCCTTCTCCTCGCCGTGTAATTTGCATCTCATCCTTCCACTCGCCATGTAATTTGCATCTCATCCTTCTCCTCGCCGTGTACTCTGCATCTCATCCTTCTCCTCGCCATGTAATTTGCATCTAATCCTTCTCCTCGCCGTGTACTCTACCTCTCATCCTTCTCCTCGCCATGTAATTTGCATCTCATCCTTCTCCTCGCCGTGTACTCTACCTCTCATCCTTCTCCTCGCCATGTAATTTGCATCTCATCCTTCTCCTCGCCGTGTACTCTGCATCTCATCCTTCTCCTCGCCATGTAATTTGCATCTCATACTTCTCCTCGCCGTGTACTCTACCTCTCATCCTTCTCCTCGCCATGTAATTTGCATCTCATCCTTCTCCTCGACATTTAATTTGCATCTCATCCTTCTCCTCGCCATGTAATTTGAATCTCATCCTTCTCTCGCCGTGTAATTTGCATCTCATCCTTCCACTCGCCATGTAATTTGCATCTCATCCTTCTCCTCGCCGTGTACTCTGCATCTCATCCTTCTCCTCGCCATGTAATTTGCATCTAATCCTTCTCCTCGCCGTGTAATTTGCATCTCATCCTTCCACTCGCCATGTAATTTGCATCTCATCCTTCTCCTCGCCGTGTACTCTGCATCTCATCCTTCTCCTCGACATGTAATTTGCATCTCAACCTTCTCCTCGCCGTGTAATTTGCATCTCATTCTCCTCCTCGCCATGTAATTTGCATCTCATCCTTCTCCTCGCCGTGTACTCTGCATCTCATCCTTCTCCTCGACATTTAATTTTGCATCTCATCCTTCTCCTCGCCGTGTGATCTGCATCTCATCCTTCTCCTCACCATGTAATTTGCATCTCATCCTTCTCCTCGCCATGTAATTTACATCTCATCCTTCTCCTCGCCGTGTGATCTGCATCTCATCCTTCTCCTCACCATGTAATTTGCATCTCATCCTTCTCCTCCGCCATGCAATTTGCATCTCATCCTTCTCCTCGCCATGTACTCTGCATCTCATCCTTCTCCTCGCCATGTACTTTGCATCTCATCCTTCTCCTCGCCATGTAATTTGCCTCTCATCTTTCTCCTCGCCGTGTACACTGCATCTCATCCTTCTCCTCGCGATGTAATTTGCATCTCATCCTTCTCCTCGCCATGTTATTTGCATCTCATCTTTCTCCTCGCCATGCAATTTGCATCTCATCTATCTCCTCGCCGTGTACACTGCATCTCATCCTTCTCCTCGCCATGTAATTTCATCTCATCCTTCTCCTTGCCGTGTGATCTGCGTCTCATCCATCTCCTCGCCGTATACTCTGCATCTCATCCTTCTCCTCGACATTTAATTTGCATCTCATCCTTCTCCTCGCCATGTAATTTGATTCTCATCCTTCTCCTCGCCGTGTAATTTGATTCTCATCCTTCTCCTCGCCGTGTACTCTGCATCTCCTCCTTCTCCTTGCCATGTAATTTGCATCTCATCCTTCTCCTCGCCGTGTACTCAGCAACTCATCCTTCTCCTCGTTATGTAATTTGCATCTCATCCTTCTCCTCGCCATGTAATTTGCATCTCATCCTTCTCCTCGCCGTGTACTCTGCATCTCATCCTTCTCCTCGCCGTGTGATCTGCATCTCATCCTTCTCCTCGTCGTGTACTCTCCATCTCATCCTTCTCCTCGCCGTGTACTCTGCATCTCCTCCTTCTCCTTGCCATGTAATTTGCATCTCATCCTTCTCCTCGCCGTGTAATTTGACTCTCATCCTTCTCCTCGCCGTGTAATTTGCATCTCATCCTTCTCCTCGCCATGTAATTTCCAACTGATCCTTCTTCTCGACTTGTAATTTGCTTCTCATCCTTCTCCTCGTCGTGTACTCTGCATCTCATCCTTCTCCTCGCCGTGTAATCTGCATTTCATCCTTCTCCTCGCCGTGTACTCTGCATCTCATCCTTCTCCTCGCCATGTAATTTGACTCTCATCCTTCTCCTTGCCATCTAATTTGCATCCTATAATTTTCTCTTTATTTACTCTACAGCTGTCCTTCCCTCGTTATATACTCTTCCTCTTATCCTTCTTATGTTCTCTACGTCTTCTCACCCACTCTTTATGGACATTACATCGTATATCATCTGCTTCTCATCCTTCACTCGTTCTCATCCTTTTCTCTTATCTTCTTTATTCCTTCTTTTTCCTTCTCTACTTTTGTTCTCATTCACTTTTAATTTTTCTGGGATTTATTCGGTTACGGGAACCAAATTTATTTCATATAATCTCAATTTAAAATCTATGCATCTCTTTCTCTGGACCAATAACTCTTTAGGATATGAGTGATCATGCTTTCCTACGTTCACCTCTCGTGTGTTTTTCCCAGCAATACTTTCTCCTGTTCAACCGCTTTTATCATTGTGCTGTCCCATCCGTTTGCTCGAGTTGCTTAATTGCTCTTTTGCTTGGATTTATAACACCACAGCTGGGATTGCATCGCGGTCACCAAACGCTATTCCGTCTCTCCATGGTAACAGCGGGGGTCAGAATCCTTAGTTATCTGCGAAATGGTAGACCCTCTAAAGTAAACCCCAACTCTGTTTCACAAGTGGTAGAAAGACCCTCTGGGGTTCTGTTAACTCGACAAACCAAAAGTACAGGAGGCTCTACTCAGAGACATTCTGTTTGCGGATGATGCTGCAGTCGCAACCGACACACAAGAGGAGTTCCAGACTCTGATGAATCGCTTCCCTGAGGTCCGCAGAGACTTCGGGCTAACTAGCAGCCTAAAAAAGACGAATGTCCTAGGATAGGATGTCGATGTACCATCAAACATCACCATTGACGACTACGAGCTGGAAGTTGTGAACCAGTTCATGTACCTCGGGTCAGCAGCGACCTCACTCTGGACACAGAAATATATAAGAGGATTGAGAAAGCTCGCGAGTATGGAATAACTCCAAGATTTCTGTCAAGACAAAGATGGCAGTTTACAATGCCTGCGTTATAAGTACACTTCTCTACGGGGGGGGGCGAAACATATGTCAAATAGAAGAGACTGAACACTTTTTACTTGAGGTGTATTCGCCACATCCTGTGCAGATCGTGGATGGACAAAGTGCCCAACACTGAAGTTCTGTCTCGCACTGGTCTAACAACCATGTTCACTCTGCTCAGACAGCACAGGCTCCGATGGCTGGGTCATGTTCGCTGTAAGGACGATGGCCGTATTCCCAAAAACATCTATGGATGTTATGGCTATTACTGCTGGGTTGATTCTTTCACCTAAACATCCAAGACTTGTTGAATTGCCTTCGTCGTTGAAATAAATAGACAAAGAAAAGGCGGAAGGATACGGCGACACTAGAGGGACAGTTTAGGACATTGATTTTATTTCCCTTTTTTTTTTTGATTCCAACAACCTCTTGTTGGGGAATTTCCTTCCCGAACAGTTGGCACGTGTTCACCAGTCAAAGGTCCAACAGAGAAATAGATAGATTCTTCTAGTTTATTTTTGGCGACAGGAAATCTCTCTTTTTGCACATGCGTAAATTGTCTTTCCTGTCAGAGGACTCCTGGGAGATTTTTATGTTTATTTTATTTTGTATTTTTATTTAATTTTGTATTTTTATTTTATTTCGTGTTTTTATTTTATCCCCACACATCCTCTACGGAGAACTCGTAAATGGTAAAAGAGACACCGGTCGCCCTCAGTTGCGTTATAGAGATGTCTGTAAGAGGGCCCTTGAGAAGGCCCTTGAGAAGGCCCTTGAGATCAACAGTGACTACTGGAAGGATCCTTACTAATGTCAAGAGAGGAGAAACTGAAAAATGCAGCAGAAGACAAGCGGACCCACAAAAAGGACGCTGCAGCATAGACAGATGTGACTTGTATGACAGACACTGCCACTCGCGCATCGGTCTGTTCAGCCAAGGGGCAGATATGTGGAATCAAATTCATGGTCATTGATGACCGGCGGAGGCCTTTATATATAACTCAATAGCGGTCAACTGATATTTATAAGTGGAGGATCTTTCGTGCGAATGGATCTCTCCGCCACGTGCTCGACTGAACTCATGTCTGAAGTATCCAAACTACTTCTGAAACCTAATTCTGGACAATTTGGGCCCCGATGACACTGAGCTGCATTCTGATGGAATATCGCATCATTCTCACGATACATGGAATCTGTGAATGTGTGCAAATAACCACAAAGCAGTGTGCCGTAGAGGTTACCGATCAATGACGTGTTTAGAGGAAGTAACAGACAAACCATGTTATATGAAAACACACTACATTATTATGGAAACATCACAAACCTTCACGGTGCCTTCTTAGGGTCCATAGCTTCATGGAGTCTGCGCTTAAAAATCTGATCTCTAACATCAGAACCTAAAACAACTGGAACCGTAACGTTAAATGGAGACAATTTCCAATGTATGAGGACTGCCTTCCACCCAACTTTAACTCATCTTTCCAATTTTCCTCTCATGTTTTTTTTCAAGTTGTATTTTTTTAGTTCAAGGATATATATATATATATATATATATATATATATATATATATATATATATATATATATATATATATATAAGTGTAAATGGATATAAATCCGACAGAATGAAGAAATTTTGAAAAAAAAACAAAAATCCTTAAATGTAGTTAAATGAAAGAAATGTCGACGTCTGACGTTTCGGTTTATTAAACCTTTTTCAAGACAATATTCATCAAAATACAATTCAACTCAATATGACAAATTTGAATATTGTCTTTCGAAAAGTCTTATCAATAAACTGAAACGTCAGACGTCGACATTTCTTTTCATTTAACTACATTTAAGGATTTTTGTTTGTTTTTTTTCAAAATTTCTTCATATATATATATATATATATATATATCTTGAACTTTCTACTTGCCTAAAATAACTTTTGCCACACAAAAGAATATTTGTGCAACTTTTCTAAAAATCATTTGTTGATTATTTATTTGTAATTCTCTCGTAAGATTTTTCTTGTTATTGCTTAATAAAAAGTTTTTTTTTTAATCTACATTTGAACTTGAGTTCCTCAATTTTCGGACAGTGCTATTTGCAGATTCATGAAAAAAAAACACTTTTCTATGTAATAAATTTTATTTATAAGAAAAGTCCAAGTATCACTTTGTAAAAGTAAAATGAAAAAGTCAAGAGAAGGAAAATGAGAGCAACGGGAAAGGGTGGGAATTTATTACGTGAAAGTGGGTTGCATTATAGGATAGTCGATGAAGAAATGGGGATGACCAAAAAAAGAGTATGTCGAGAGAGAGAGGGGAGAGACAGAAAGGAGGAGGATAATGTCTACTTCTTTGCATTTAATTTTTCCTGCTCTTTTCCTTACTTCTTTTTGTTAATAAATAATGTTTCCTGCTAAAAACGGGGCAAGTAACTGATCAATTCTAAGACTTTGTAATACAACGGGTGAGTGCTGAAAACTTTCATTTTTCTTTCTTTTCAAATCACAAAAATAATAGTTGCTTCTTGCTAACCTATCGAAAATAACATTTATTTATGCACAGTAGCCAGTTCGCTGTCATTAAGTTTAGAGGCCAAAAACTAACCTTTCTATTGTCACCCCCACAAAAAAATGAAGTGATACGAAAAAGTGGGAAAGATTGATAAAGACTTACTGTGTATTGATTGCAGTCGCGGAATTATTTAATTATTTTCTTTTTGAATTCCATACAAAAAATAATTAATAAACAGTTGCAAAAATTATAAAAAATATTCCTTTGAAAAAATGTTCACAATAAAATTTCCATTTTTTTTTTTTTTGGTTAGTCTAGGGTCAGCTGACATCTTCACCACGTATCCTCATACAATGTGCCTCTTACTATGTATCTCCTACTTAGAGTTACTCTTGGCCCTTGTACAGAGTTAACATCATTGTAAAAAATGTGTATGGCCGTGAAATAAATAAATAATAACCTTTTTCTTTTCATTTTGCAAGAACCTTAATATCTTATCGATAATTATTTCACTGTGTTCTATTGATATCAGTCGATTCCTGTTCAGTTATTTTACAACCTAACAGAATAAAAATGGCTGCAGGGTAAATGTTTAGATTATTACTCCTGACGATAAAGTAAAATGAATCCTATTTTTAAAATGGATATATTTTCTAATAAACGTTTGTCCATTTAAAATATTACATTTTAGATTTGAAATTTGATTATCTTGCCGTCAGCAAAATGATGAGCCACCGAACGAATAAACTTAAAAAAAAAAGAAACAAATTTCATAAAATTGACAATTTTCTTGTCAATTTAAGTAAAAAAAAAAAAATTAGTAAATAATACAAAAAGAAAGAAATTCTTAATCTTCTGTGTTTCTGATTATCGACCTACTTCCTTGTTGGCATGTCTAATACGCCATTTTGCTCCCAATAAATTTTGTATTAGAAAATGTTAAACATAACTGTTTGTTGGAAAAATGACTAGAATAATTAAGAATTGCAAATTGTCATTAAATACAATAATAAATACAAAATAAACATCAGCATTAGATTCCGTAGAAAAAAAATCTTACACCAACGACTTCTAAGACAAATTTACTTTTGTGTAACCGGCTCTACATCAGCCGATCGACTTGAAAATGAAATAGTGGAGAAAGGCTGAAAGAAAATAGATGTGAAGATGCGGAGTACGGGTGGTGAAAACCTTTAAATTGGGGACTGATATGTAAAAAAAAAATAATAATCAGATATTGTTTAGTTGAAGAAAGAACTTAAAACAATTGTAATAAAAAATTGAAACTTTTTGGATCAAGTGAACGCCGATGACTTTGACTTACTTGTGACATCAACTAGCAGAGTGACGTTGGAAAAAGTGACCACTTTTCAGTTTTGCGACCCCCACAATTTTGCTTCTCGTGACGCCTGGCGTCTCTGTAATAGTGTGTTAAATAAGAGTACGTCTTCTATTCCTCCTGAAAAAGCGGAATGTTTTGCTCGTAAATTCTCTTCAAATTTTACTCTTACAACATAACAGTCGTTATCATTTTCTAAGATAATTTTATGATGTCGGATTTTCTCAGCACATCCCTCAAATGCACTTTCAACAAACGGGGTACCTCGGAATGCCGACTCTTTGCGTACTTCTATTTTATTACTGACGGGGTAGTTTCATAAAGATTTCATATCATTGCAGATTTGCAACCTTGAAACTGATTCGACTTCGGTTTGGATGAAACCAAAGAATAGG